GATGTCTTGAGGCCGTCTTACCGGTCTGTAACGCGGTTCGGACGAAGTCATTGTTGGAAGACTAGTAAGTGCGTCGATATTTTACTGAGGTTGCAAATCTAAACCATATACAGCTGCAAACAGCCTTCCGAGGTTGAGCGCTACGCACCCAAAATCAAAGCTTTCAACCACATCTTGGACCGGCTCAGAACCGTTCGGCCACGCGATTGCGATTTCAAACCCCCCACCGACATCATGTTCCATCGCAGCAACCCAAAAATCATGAACGCAACGCACGGCGGTTTGCCAACAACACGAAAACCAGACGTTATTTTGGCTTCAAAACAAGCCATCGCCGTATCACAGAATAAGAAACGCCTACATCCGACGCAAGCTCCTTCCCAACCATTTGACTGGTCCATCATAAATCTTCCTGTGGAAGAAAAATGTATCAAGAAGAAGATCGATCCCCCTCCTGCTTCTTATTCCACATCTTTGTCGCTATACATCCCTGTGACCAAAGACATAAGTAAGCCGCTGAAAACGAGACCAATCCCAGATCCTGGGGAGTCCGCACCCTCGGTCGAATATCTGGACGATGAACTTGACGCGGAAGAGGAGGACGAGGAACCTCGAGACGAAACAATGCCCCAATCGGCCGGCTGGAAAGACGATGAAGTTAGAAAAGGCCAGCGAAACGAACAGAGTGGGGAAGGCGAGGAAAGCGAGGAAAGTGAGGAAAGCGAGGAAAGCGAGGAAAGAGAGGAAGACGGGGAAGGCAGAAATATGGGGGGATTCACACCGTCAGGCCTGAAGCGGCGTTGGTCGGGGGTGGGGGACACCCCTTTGAAGAGATTAAAACGTACGAAAGGACCGGAAACCCTCCAACCTTACACGAAAATACCACCGATTGTCCAAAACGCGCTCTATGCTTCTGAGATGTTGAACCGTGGAGTTTATACTCTGAACACACATACTATGCTAATCGCCGGTGAGCCACTTCGTTACTTACTCATTTTCCTTCAAGTTCATTATCTTTCACCAGATGATGTTGCGTGGATTTGGTTTTTTGACCGCCAAGGCGCAATTCAGACCACGGGTGTCAATATCATACAGGATCTTCCTTACTTCGCTGCCCTTCTTTTCGCGTTTCAACGCTTCGGCGTGCGGAACTGGGGTATCGAACCTTCTCTTCAAAATTCCACCAACATTTTCGCGCCGTTCGAGATGAGGTTTCCCACTGAGGAGGGTCAGCGACCTTTGAAGGTGCTTATTAACCCTTCCGACAAGATTTATGATCAATTCACTCTGAATGGTCGATCGACACGAGTGCTAGCTGCTTCCACTCGGTCAAAGAGGCGTGATCCTAACGGCCTCAAATTGTCCAATCGCGGTCTCGTCGCAAAAATCTACTGGCCGGAAGAGTCGAGAACTAACGAGGCGGTTGCCATCGAGCGTGCACACGATCTCCTAAAGGACTCTGCGTTAAAACGACACCTACCCACCGTCATCTGTTGGATAGATTTGGAGCATACGACTGGGGATATCCGCGAAAAGTTGGGGCTTACGGACGAAAATACAAAGTCCCGTGTGCTCCGTGTTCTTATTGCAATCCGTCTGGAGCAATTGGGATCTTTGAGAAATGAAGAAAAGTTTTTGAATGGTTGGAAAGGGTGCTTTGAATGTAGGCGTTCAGTTCCTTATCGATTGGCATCCTTCGCTTACAGGTTATGCAGGTCATCATCAGCTCTGGTCAAAAGGGATCCAACATGGCGATATTAGCCTTTGGAACCTGATGTGGGACCCACTTCGTTGCGTTGGTGTCCTGAATGATTTCGATCTCATTCAAATTTATGGGGAGCCATCTAAAGGCGGACGACGAACTGGGACCATCGCCTTTATGGCTCTTGACCTCCTCTCTCTTGAAGGGGTCCCACACCGGTACAAACGCCTGTATCGTCACGATCTCGAATCAATGTTATGGGTTTTAATTTGGATCTGCTTATCCATCGAGTACAAGGAGGACGTCCCTCAAGGCCTGCGAGCTTTCGATCTGCGCCGACAGAGGGATCAGCTTGAACTCTGGAAGAATCCTCTAACTTCAAGATCAACAAGACTCGACGTCCTCGCCAATTCCCATGAATTTGTGGCCTGCAAGTTTTTTGGCAGACTTAGGAATTTAGCGAATCGATTCATTGAGTGGTTCAATGATCAGAAGGCGAGGAGAAGCAAGGAGGTTAAGCCGGTGGACGTTGTCGAAAACATCGAGGAGACATACAATCAGATTATGGCACTTGTGAAGGATTATGAAGACTCAGCTTGAAAGTTTCTCTACACTTCTTTACATGCACTCGCTCCCAGATATTTAATTTATGTACCTTTTCGCGGTTTGCAAATTAAGGCAACGTTTGGTCTCCTTGCATACGAGTTCTTGTGGTAGACAATTGTGACGAGTTAATTCACATGAAAACTGACTAGTTCGACTAACAATTTCTTCCACCAAACCGCACCTCTTTTGATTCTCCACAGCACACCAACGAAAAAGGGTGACGTTGGAGGGATCACGATTCATGAGCCATGGGGAAGCTCACTGTCATCGTCAACATGGAACTGGTACTAGGAAACTTCACGACAGAAAGGTGCACTGAACTGCGCAGTGGAAACCAGTGGAAATGGTCAGCACTTCTGAAGTAGGAAGAACGACCGTACCTTTAAGAATACAGTTTACTTGAATGAGACGAGCTTGGCGGTCCAAATGTCGTTCGTGCATTGGCTGAGAGTGAAAAAGATTGTGGTAAGAGTCCGAGAGTTGTTCTGGATGGTGGATATGGGAAAAGGCGGTTGTAGAAGAAGTTGAGAACAATGGAGAGATTATAAAGTTTGGAGATGAAGATCAAGAGAGAACGTACGTACCCTCAACTCACGCGGCTCACTTGTATCGGTATTCGACCCCCGATGTCGTTCCATCCACAAACCATACAACCGTGAAGGTGCTCGATGATTCAGATTTGCCTTCACCCTGTGGGGTAACAAGGCATACGGGCAGGTTCGTGCCAATTCGTGCCACGTAAAGAATTGTTTAGAGGAGTAATAGGTCACGGCAGAGAGACGGACCAAAGTCGACCAAACAGCCGGAGAGACAATTCTTTCACTTCCATGAAATCGCACATCGGGCGAAGCGATAGATGCTTTTGGATGGCTCGAGGTAGCCAGTTTCGAAGATGACGAGCTCTAGATGGTGGGGAAAGAGGAAGAGCGTGGCTCCGGCTGCTACGCACCATGGTAGGAAGAAAATCACACGGATTGCAGACATGGCGACAGCGTGGAAAACGAAATCGGGGTATCTAGGTTCGTAGTCATCGGAAAGAACGGAGGAAGGGGTTACTTTGGGATCAATGTTAGGCTCTAAGCCTGTGGGGTATGCGTCGTCGACGGTGAGCTAACAGAGGTTTATGAGCGGCGCATATAGTCGATGAAAGTGATCAAACCTGATTTTGGGAGTCGGTGGAAAGGCTCTCCACCAAAATGGGTCCGTTCGGCAGCGTATAGATGGTCTGGGAAGAGTGCTTGGTCAATATAACTCGAAAAGAGGACGTAAATTACCGCCGGTTGGGTATCGATGTCGGGAGAAGAAAAGCATGGTGAACTCGTATCGTCCTGGCTGATGTATCCGGAAGAGAAGGCACGCGGTAAAAGATCAACAGACTACACCGACCTGTAAGTGCTAAAATAAAACCTGGGAACTCGACTCGCCTCGCTCGGCTGGGGGACAGTGGTGCTGCCTTCTAAATCCATTGCGGGGGGTTCCACGCGGTCCTCTTTGTGAGACGAAGTCAGGAAACTACCTCCAAAAGTGGATAATTCGGACCTCATTCGAATCCCCAAGCATAGCACCCGGTTCTTGGTATAGTGGGGGAGGAGAAGACGCGCGACTTGTAATGTCTTCCAGGACCAATGGGGATGTCGTCTCCGAGGATAACGATGTGTCAGGGGCCAAGGTCGTCTGCAGCGCTTCCGGAACCAACGTCGCCACCAGCTCCAATACTGGGTCTGGGGCTATCTAATGGATGACCGTGAAAGGCTGCCGAATCTTAAAGAAGCGTGAAACTAACCTCAACCTCAACTACCCTTCGTTCCTCTAATTGCTGCGATAACTGCGCGATATCCGCGCCTTTGCCTACAGCCTTCAAATCAAAGTACGAGTCTACCGCTGAGCCGTCCATATCTCTCGCAAGAGCCTCGTGTATGCCCTGATAGACATTGATGGGCACATCTTGATCCACAGGCGTCGTCAAAGCTGAGGTAAACGGCGAATCGTCGGTTGTCTCTGAGTTGTTTCGCTCCATCTCCGTCAGCTCGACGAGACGGTGCTGCAGCGGAGTGAGTGATCGCTTAGCTGGCCGAACTGGCGCTTACCTCCTGTATCGTATCAACGTTGTTCAACGTCTCCGTCATTGCCGGCGGAGATGATGATGGTATGAGAAGAAGAGCTGTCACGCGTGACCAAGAGTAGCCATCGCGATGCTTCTGCTCACGATTCCTCATGCATCGCATTCGACATCAGTGTCCCAGAAAATCAGTTTCCTCGTAAAGATTTGCGAGGGACTACCTCTCTGCTCAAAAAAGCTTACAACCAGACGGCACTTGCGTCATGGCGCCCACTCCCGAGATAAGCAACTTGGCGGCGTCCACTGCGCACACTCGTCGAAAAATGCACAGGTAAGTATCTTTCCGTAATGTGGTCATGATCAGTCTTCGGAAAGATAAACATGTCATCCCAGATTTCTATCGCCCGACAGCCCTGGATAAGATGGATATAAAAACCCACTTCTTCTTCTGCGGTACTCATCTCTAGCATATACTTACTATCCCGCCGTAGTACGTCCCTTGATATCCCACCTTTGATTCTCTACTCATGGTCAGACTCCAATCAGTAAAACACAACCATGAAACTCCTCTCAATCGTCATCGGGCTCATCGCAACCCTCTACACCGCGGCTCCTGCAACAGCCATCAAGGAAGTCTGCAGCAACGCCTGCGGCTCACCAATCCCGCTCTGCATCCAGGGATACACTGCGACGCGTTTCAACGTTAACACTCCCGACCAATGCTGGCGATGCTGCAAGGCTATTCCGGATGAATTTGGGTGTTACGGTACATACTACTTCTTTCTATCGACGACCAGAACGCTAATTTGGCTGTACCACAGATGTCTAGATCTGAGGAAATAGTCCTTCCTGTCCTTCTGTCCACAATCAGCGCCTCTTTGAATTGTTTTGTTTTCTGAATCTACATCATGAATGTACGTTCATCGAAAATTCACAACTTGGCACTGGCAAGAAAATACACACTCCCATCACTGCTAAATGAAGGCGCTCACTGCTAAGTCGTCTTCGCATCACGCCTCAAGTTGTCCTTGCGTTGGTGTCAAAGTACCGGTACGATCCCCTTCCATATTCTGGAAGACTGCATCGTCGTGGAAAGGCAAGTCCTCGCAGTCACCACGATCATCGATTACTTACCGCACCTGATAAAAATCGACGTCTTCAGACTCTTAGTACGGGAAGGCATCCATTATTGAACACCTCACGATTCTTAAAGCTTTCCCGAGATTCTCCCGAACCTGCCGCCGATCATATTGTCTCATTTACTTCATTCAAGTGAGTCAGTTGTGATATTCGACGTCGATAACCAACTCACATCCAACACTAATTTCGGGAGATGAGTACTCAAGTCATGCAATCATCATCGAGAGTAGTATTAGAAGGCTCAGCTATCCATATTTTTCTATCACTAGAGCCCCTTGCGACAAGATAATTAGGTTTTTACAAGCTTGTTCACCTGCAAGTCCAAGGACCTGAAGACCGAGGGAATACCTGCGAGATCGTGGCTTGAAACCTCCTTCATCCCTATCAGTACACTATGCTCATGCTTCACTGTCCACTTCTACAGTTCTTCGCTGTTGACCCCTTGGGTGGATCTGGGCACTCCCCACGGCCCTCAGACCAAGCTATCAAATCGTCTGCGTAATCGTCGTCCAGACAGTCAAGAGGCCCTGAAAACCAACTGATCAGCCCTGCAAGAAACCAAATTCAGGTAGAGATAAACGTTACCAGGTTTTGGCAAAATTAGCTCATCCCACTCATCTCTTTGCCGTTTTTCCTCATCTGTGAGAGGCGTTGCGCGCATAATCGCCAAGAAGTTGTCTATCGCTGACTGTCTTTTGTCGTCGTCCTCGATCTAGAGTAACTCTTCAGCATTTTTAGAACTGTAGAAGAGGCCAAGTACAAACTGCTAAGAGGTGCTTTGGAATGACAGTTAGGCCACCATAGCGAGTCTTCAAATAATTGTGAGGTGACGTGATTGAAGGGTATAAGTACAAGCCACGCACCCGATCTTTATTGTACAACCACGGATGCGTCCCAATGAGCAAGTCTTCTATGGGGATGGTGTTGGCAGACTCTGCGGCTGAAATTTCTGAGGAATCGACATTTTTCGTCATGGTTGGGAGGATAAAATGTGTTGTGACTCGGACTTGTTTCAAAATTCCATGGGTGCGTTACATCAGCAAGCTGGTCTCTAGCAAGACTCTAGGGCAACTCCAAGGACTTTTTCTCGACTGTTTCTAATTATGCACACACTCGGTGAAGCTGAGTTGAGTTCTCAGTTTACGAGCATTTACCAATTGTTTCCAAATTGGTTGAGCTCGCTCCTGGCGACGACGCCCCTACTAAGCATGAATGCTACATGCATGCCCACAGTGTTAGTATGTTCAAAACGATGCATAAAGGGAATGAAAAGTGCCCAGTGGAACCCCCCAATCTCTTACTCAAGCAACGACAGTGTTCATTGACTGTACGCGTACAGAACTTTTATCAACTCACTATACTCTAACTCCGCCCTTCAACACCCACAAAGTCGCAATGATAGATGCTGATCGCACCCATGCCGCATCCACGACCACCGGAATAAACCTACACCGGCGCCCCAAAGTCCCCCGCCGTCTCTCCTCCGCTACGCTCCCCGACAATACACGCACCGTCAACTTTGTCAGCGCCAATCCCATTCCTGAATCAAATGTTACTCGCAACCCCATTCGCCCCAGAAAAAATGGAAAGCTTATTCCCCGCGCCCTCTCCTTGTTCTTGCGCAAGAAATCCACCGTGGCGAGCCTTACTGAGGCCGAGAGCCAGCTCGCCAGAATGGCATCTTCGAGCAAGGCCCACGATATACCTGGCTGCCGAACCCCAAACATTACCTTTGTTGATTTCATGACGCCAGTGGAGCGAGAACAGAAGTTGAAGATAGTCATTGAAAGCACTGTGACTGAGAGTGTGGACGACGGTTTCGACAGAACCGTAGAGGGCGTGGCGAAGCAACCTTTTCAGGATATCGCCGTCGTAAACCTGCAAGATAATGTGGATACGTGCAGCTCACCAGTTTCCCCGTTGAGTCCTTCCTTTGACTCAATCTTTCCTGTTCGAGTCAAGAAAAGGAACCCCGTTGAGGTGGTGCAGCTCCATCGGCTAAAGTCGATGCAGAGGTTGGGCATGGAGGCGTACAAGGATGTTATGGAGAAGTATCCTATGAGCGCGGAAGAGAGGGCGCTAGCTTACAGGTGTTTTTGAACCGGTCATGAGTTATTTCATGTAGCTCGTACGTATAGTACGGCTGTCATGTTCGTTCTCTTCGATTGATGATGACGAATTTACTTTCAATTTTTTTCACATTCAAGCGCCGAGGCATGGCTGAGTGGTATCAATTTTAGCCGCGGGGACCTGGCGAAAGAAGACGACTCGGACCTACCTCGTGTTTGCATTCAATCACTCCTCGTATTTCAAATCGGCGTGCAAAGGTACACCTGTCTGACCATTTCAGTTGAATGCCCAGTTCGTACCCTTTGACAAGGACACTCCCTGCCTTGGAAAGTCAAGCGCATGATCTGGAAAGGCTCAGTTAACTTGAGTGGACGGGTTGCAGCAAGCATAAACAGACCATACACGATAAACTACAACTATTCAGTTACATAGAGTTGATACTTTACTTTTCATTCATTTCTTTTTCCAATCATATTGAGAGCCATCGACGATACAAAGCATTCGCCAGGTGAGTGGCGCCAGTGAAGACAAAGATCAGGGATAGGTTGTATGCGGCCTCTTTGGCGAAGAGGTCGTCCTGTTACGATACAGTCATTGAAGAGAGGTAGGGGGAGGATAGCAGAGGCGTACATTGTTCTTCTCCGCAAGTTCAAGAACATTTTCGTAATGCTTGACCGCGTAGGAGTAGAGTCCTGGATAGGATTAGCAAGGAAGACGCACAACGACAGGATAATGAGACGGACCAAGCTGATGGAAAGTCCTGGCAAAGTTGTATTCCACTTCCCGTACACTCTGCATGCCACTTCCTCGGAGGCTGCGATACTGCGTTAAGAACGCCATCGCCTTTGAAGAAACAGATCGTTAGTCCCATAACCCTGTTCAGAGCAGACAGAACTACCTGTGTAACAAGATGATGCCGGTTATCTGACTGACGCTGCATCGCCCTACCAATGGAAGCTATGGCCAAGCACAAGCATATCATTGGATCGTCAGGGCAATAATCGTATGCATGCAACAGATAGACTATCCACAACGTCAGCAAGGAGCGCATACGAAAGGGGCAACTCACAAATAGCACTCTGATAGCTCTTCGCCGCGATACAAATCTGGCCATAGATAGCCACAATAACTGGATTATGCTTCGTCGGTATCTCGGGGACATTGAGGCTCCCTGCCGTAGCTGTCGCCCCACTCTCCTGATCACCACCCTGATCCGGCACTCCATCATCCCCATCCTCCTCAGCCCCATCCTCCGCTTTCCCACTCTGTGCAGTGGGCGCATACCGTTTGTTCAATGGATTCCACTTAAGCACTTCTGGGCTCTTCACAGCCGTATCCGCCAACTTCATTTCCCTAAACAAATGCTTCTGAAGTGTGGAAGTGATGAAAGAATCTGTGGGGCGGAGGCCACTTGATAGGCAAGCCATGAGGATTCGGAGTGGCTCGTTGTTAAATTGGTGTACGGTGATGAGTTTGCGTGCTTGTTCAACGACAGCGGTGTGTTGGCCCGCAGCCAGACCACAAGCTACAGGCAGAGACGTATGAGCTCAGACAGTACGAAGAGCCAAAGGGAGGGACGCTCACTGATGATTGCTAATCGAATAGAGTCCTGTCGCTCACGAGCTTGATATGCGTTTGAGACCATGATATGTCGAAGGATTTCATCTGCGACATCGTATTGACCTCGTCGAGTAAGAAGAAAGCAATACTGGTCCCCAGTATCAACGAAAGAGCACATAAAGGTAAGAGAAAATCCAAACAAACCTGCATGAACAACTTCAACCAGTCATCGAACGAAATCCCTCTAAATACATCCACTTTGCCAATCTGCGCGTCTCCCTTGGTCGCCTTCCTCGACATGCTATCACGTTCTAAAAAGATCAATGTTAGCCTTAGCCCGACAATTTAAGCAACAACCAACCCAAGTCAAGCTGCAACCTCGACGCCATCCGATCTTCATCAGCTTCCGTCTCGACCTTCTGCTTCTTCCTATGACTCCTCGGAAACATCCCTCTAAACGGATTATTCTACGCCCCGCCAAAATGATCAGCCCCTCGCCCAACCCCAAAGCAAAAGAAAGAAAGACAACCCACCCGACTGGTCAAAAACAAGTTCCTCGTCTCCCTGAACATATCCACAAGCTTCTCCGCCTCGACCATCCACTCCCTCTCACACTCCTCATCCCCACCCATCATACCCGCCCACAGCTCCCTTATTTTCCGATACCCCTGCATTACCTCTTTCTCCTTGGCCGTCTCCAGCTCCCTCAGCTGCAGGTGCGTTAGTCGGTTCTGGAGACGGATAGCGTTAGCTTTGGTCCTGGCGATACGTTCTTCGGCGAAGAGAGAGGCTGTGGTGGGGTCGTCTTCAGATTGGGTCGCCGGTGCTTTTGCGCGCTTTTTGCGGGAGTCGATGACTGGGACGCGTTGAATCGAGGATGGGGTGGGAGAGAAGAACAACTGCGTACCTTCATATACTAGTTCTAGAGCCCGTCGAGGTTCACCTAGGATCTCATAAATTTCAGCAAGCTTCATTTTGGCGTCGTTGTGTGTAGGATCAGCCTGTCGGACTTGATACGTTTCAGTCAGCGTGTTAGTCAGCCGCCAAATAAGAGAGTCATACTATGTTCGTAGACTTCTGCAGCTTCACGAAGCTCTTCGAGCATCTTCATGCATGCGGCTGTTTGTAACAGAATATAAATACTGCTTGTCTTCAGTTGAGATGAGTGCCATATCTAGAAAAGACGTATTGGGAGTCACATACCGCAGGGTCAGCACCAAGGAGTTCGTAGATAGGCTTCGCCTCGGCGTACATCTCCCTCTCAAAGTACGCATCTGCAATCTCAGCAAAGAGGACCGCGTAATCAAGAATATCTTGTGCCAAGACCGCATTCGCATGAAGCTAACCAACCAAAATCAGCGTCTCCCACAACCAAGGGAATCAAATTTACCTTTCCCTCCTCGATCTCGCCCATCTTGATCCTCGCAACCGCCAACCGATGACGCGCATTGGCGTCCAACTCATACCTCCCAGCCTGTATCCCACCTCCCTCCCCAATCACACTTCTCGCCGGCCACCCATCCATATCATACTCCCTATCATCCTCGCACAAATCCCAATACCGCTGCTCGGCTCTCCCTTGCAACCAACGAGTTCCGCGCCTGATCGTCTGGGCTGCTTTTTCGTGTTCCCCAAGAGCGTTGTACAAGTCGGCCAGAAGGAGCAGGTCCAGTTTGGTGAAGATGGTCTGGGAAGGGGTGGGGTAGATGCGTTGATAGTGGTCAAACGCGGCTTGGAGGAGGTCGGCACAAGTTGGGAGTTCGGAGAGCTCGACGAGAATGGTGTGGAGTTCGCGAAGAACGGTCAGGTCGTGTGGAAACCGTTTAAGGATTGATGTGAACGCGTTGCGAGCCTGAAGGCAATGTTAAATGTAGTAATGAGATGAGTATGAACAAACTTACTGTTCGAAAATCCCCAATCTCCTTTGCCAACGATGCTCGATCCCACAACGCGTCGACATTTGTCGGGTCAAGACTATATACTTTTCGATAGCAGTATAACGCCTGTTGGTTATACCCATGTTCCCTTGACTGCCTCGCCAATCGATCCCACTCATCCGCATCGTGTCGAAGGTGAGCCGCCATGATCCTAAGCTGGAGCGCCTTCTGCCCTTGTTCCATATCTTCATAGCACTGTGCAAGGACAGACCAAGCACTCGCCGCGCGCGGTTCAATGCGTATGACTTCTTGCATCATCCGGATCGCTTCAGGTAAGTTGCTGTCTACATACGCTTGATTCCCATCACCAATAAGGGAGCGAACTTGTTGAGAGAGGACTGGCCCCGTCGTTCGGCCTTTCTGTGGGGGGTTTTAGCAAAAAAAACGAGGGTAGGCAAGTTCACTCGCCCGTTTGCGTTTCCGGCCAATACCTGAGGCTTCCCTGAGGTCATCGCGGAACTCGGCCTCTTTCTCCTCGATGCTGAAATCCCAATCCTTTGTCAATCCGCTGCCGCTCGCTCCGTTGTTTGAGGACGTGTCCCGGAGTCGTATGTTCTGTACGAGACGACTGCGATTGCACTGATCAGCAGAATTATGAGTTATAGAGAATTGCGCACTCGAAATCTCCTTCAATCTCCTTCTCGGCGTACGTTTCTTCGGGGTTCGGTGCATCGTCCTCGTTCTCTTCGTCATCCTCGCCTTCGGCGTCTTCTTCTGAATTTGATGCCGAGCCGTCGTTGTCTTCGTCGGTTACGCCCTCAACGAAGTCCTCATCGACGTCCATTTCGTCGTCTGTTCTCGACAACATCTGTTGTGCGTTGGTTGCGAGTTGATCTGACAATGATCAGAAGAACACCAGAAAGTGTGTCACGTGACCATCGTGGCTTGAACCCAAAATGCCCTTCATCGAGCGTCACCTCAAACTGGCATTTGGACTTGGGATGCCTGTAAGCTCCTCACACACCCCCTCACAGTAATCATCTGAATCAGAATTTCGCCAGAATCTAAATTTCTTCCGGGGTATTCTATGGCGTACAAACACGGGTAACAAAGAGTCCAGGGAGTAGTATTTGACGATATGAATATGAGAAGGGAAAGGGCTCTGGCCGTCGAAGATGAATAACAGAAGGTCATGTTATGAAGTCCACGGAAAGGCAAAAAGAATGGACCGTCAACGAAAGCCGTCTCGAAAAGAAGAAAAAATGGGAGAATGGCAATAAAATCGGACAGTAACAGAAATGTACAGGAAGTAGGGAAATAAAGGAATAGATAAGGGTATTATGATGTGGTTGGAAAAATTTACAAGAGTGATGGGAAGCAGGAATGAAGAGAGCGTCGAGTAGCTGAGCACCGAATTATGGATAGCATTCCAACAGCTGTGAGGGTTGATTAGCACCCGTAGTGACAGTAGAGAAAGAAAAAAAACCTTAGAACCCAAAGGTGCTCTGGGTAGGCGAGGTATAACCACTGATTTGTTTCTTGACGAAAAAAGTGGGCAAATCAACGCCGGGCTCTCTCAAGCAATCTATTGGAATCAAGCCCGTCTCAACCTCGGTCCCCTCAACTTCTTTGCCTTTCGACGCCTCGAAGCTTTTCACTTTCTCAACTTTTGCCCAACCGTCGTCGAACAATTGCAGAATACGAACTTGTTCGTTTGGCTCCACACCAACCTCGTCCTCCCGTGTCGGGACAAATGGGCGACGAATCATCTCTATCTCGGAGAATTCGCCTGAGGCCGAGTGATTTGGGCGAACAAGAGGGGGGTGTTGGTCTGCAAAAGGATCACTGCTGATGAGGCCATGTTTGTCAGAAAATGGGTCGAAGACTCCGGAAGCAGGTGAGGGGGGAGTCAATAGTGGGATAACCGGTGATGCAGGAGGGGAGGTTGGGTAATGGGAACCAGTCGAAGGACGCGGTGAAGAGGGAAAGAAGGCACTGCTCTGCGTGGGGCTTCTCATTGCCAACGAAGCACTACTCGACGGTCTTGACCCCGTGGCGGCTTCCGAAGGTGGCTTGGGAAATGCAAAGGATTCCGAATTTAAAAAGGGACGAGAGCTTGACAGGGGCGTCTCGATATTCAAGCTATCCCGGTGATGCACGACGAGAAATTGCGTATCGGTTGAGACATGCGATTCGGCGCTCCCAATCGAAAAGCGCCTCTGATCAAAGGGGAAATCGTTGAAGTGTGAGCTTTGGAGTACGAGAACGGGCGCGTTCGGATTGTGGCGGATCTGCGCCATCGGTGGAACAGGAGGCATGACGTCGGAGAGATTGAGGTGTGAGCTAGGAATGTTAGCGTGGTCAACCGTAGTTGCGAAACTGCTTCGGGCCGAGTTACCCCCAGCAAACTCGACACTACTATCATCGTCATAGTTTTGCGAGGTACGTCTCCTGGCGAACCACCACCGGTTTCTGCGCTCGTGACGACGCTCAGCCCATTTTTTCCTGAGAAGAATGACGGTAATGCCAAGGCCGAACAAGAAGAGGATGACTGCAATGGCGGCGACACCGCCTGCAGATAAATGCCCTGATTTTGCAGCACCGTCTGTCGGGGAACCCGAGGAGGAACTGGGATTTTCGGATGCTGTTGGGGTAATTATGGTAGTGGCAATGGCGTGTCCGTGACTGTCAGTGATCGTGCTTGTTACGGCAGAAATACTCTTGCGTTCTGAGGCGCCGCCAGGAAGATTGGCCGCGTTGGCTGATCCACCAGCGGAGGATGACACAGATGGGGAAGACGGGGAAGTGCCATCACTGCTGCCCGTTCCAGATCCCGCAGTGCCTGGAGTACCGTCGGAAGTGCTCGCTGAACCAGTCGAAGTGGAACCTGCGCCCGAGCTCGGGGTCCCGCCGTTCGAAGTACCTGCCGGAGAAGAGCCTCCAGCAGGAGAAGAGGTGCCACCTGGAGTAGAGCCACCAGCAGAACCACCAGCAGGATCAGAACTGCCACCTGGCGTAGATACACCTACAGCAGGAGAACCATTAACTGGGGTTGAACCTCCGGTACTTCCGCCACTGGTTGTTCCTCCAGTGGTCGTTCCCCCACTACTTCCGCTACTGGTACCTCCGCCACTGGTCGTTCCCCCACTACTTCCACCGCTGGTCGATCCTCCAGTACTTCCGCCACTGGTCGCTCCGCCAGACGAGGTCGAACCACTAGAGGATGTGGAGCCACCGGTAGTGGTAGTCCCGCCGCTCGTAGGCGGGGTTTGTGCTGGGGTGGTCACAGGACTCGGAGCAGGGTGTGAACCACCATTCCCATTCCCATTCCCGTTGTTGCCGTTGCCGTTGCCAGTAATGCCAGCGAGGAGGGGAGATATGATAGGGATAGAAGGCAGAGGAATAGGTGGTATTCGTACTTCAAGAGTTCGGTCACTAAGGAGGCGTCGAGCGCGTGTGTGTCGGACGCGCATAGGGGTTTGATAGAACCGAAGAGGTAAAGAGCGTGGGGTGTCGTGTAACGACGTTGGAGAATCAAATCGGTTGAGCTAGAATGAGAAGCGGGATTTGGCCTCTGCTAATGCTGGCATTCGAAGAGGTGGAGGGGAAGAGAAAAAATCTTGTGAAGAAAGATTGCGCCCATAACGTTGGTCACAACCAGTCGAGAACCCAGATTCAGGGGTAATAGAGGGTCGTCGCCTTCTGAGAACAAATGCGCGATGAGATTTGGTTATGCCAAAAATGAAATCTCCGATGTGCCAGGTCGGGTCCCACTCCACAAATTCTGATGCTACTGTGCTGTGATATGTATTATTCCACCACACGAAAGAACAATTTCTGGCAAACCACCTGGAAAAAATACAGTGACAGTGAGTGCATGGTTGAACGTGATGGCGCGCCTCCAAGTATAAAATTGGGGCTACCGTCGACGTTTGATGAGTGAACAACCTCGGATTTTCAGGAGTCGATCAGAGCGCTAGCGCACGCCGCAAATCGTTATCAGCTCGGGGTAACATGTCTTCCTTGGAGTCTTGGAGGCTCCCTTGGTTTGTCCAGGATCTCGCTGACGTTGGAAAATTACAGTTAAGTGTAGGCAGTGATGGCGCAAGCAGCAGATGCCACAAATATAGAGTTCAGTAAAAACCAAGTTCAACTGACGCAGCAAGGTTGGTAGAAAGTAACCGAGTCTCGAAGAGGCCCAGAAAAGACTGGTAGAAACTGAGTTTGAACTTTTTGATAGCAATTGACGCGTGGCAGTGCCGCCGTTGGCATGCAACCGAACATCAACCGCCGATCAGAAAGAAATAATCATAAATTGAAAAATGGGGGAACTGATTTCCAGATCTGCTAACGATTGCTTTGCAGCTTTCAAACTCGCTTCAATATCTATTGGGCCTCGGGGGTCTTTTTGTGTTTCACTTTTGTCATTTAGGGCTAGTTTTGAGTCAGATTTTATTCTTCAAAATCCTCGGCGAACGAGACGATTTTTACCAAACTAGTGTATCTTACTCAAGGTCCTGAACTATGGCAACAGGGACCAGCCAGCTTCAATATCACGGCTAAGACCGATGTTTGTACACTTGCCGATCATTATGCCGAAATAAATTTACTATTCTATTATATAATATTGATATTGTCCATCAAATATTTCGCAATGTCAATTATCGCGCTCCAAAGCGCCTATCTCGTATCTTCGTTGAAATGAGCTTTTTGATCTACCAAGACCTCCTTCTCTCTGATCTCTCACTGCCCGTTCTGTCACCCCACAGTGAGAAGGTTCACATCACGTCACATACCTCCGCTAAACACTTGTCAGCTGTGTTCTAGCTCAATGCACCAACAAAGGTGTCCCAGAAGCTCTTCGTGAAAACTTACCGATGTTGAGCGATTGCCCGAGTCACCCAACACCATTCGTGATGGCGAGGACGCTCAACTACAACAATTCCTGGCTCCCTCGCGTTCGGGACGAAGCTGGACTTACCTTCTCGAACAAGCTTATCAGCCGTTACAAGGCTCTGCATACCGACTTCGCGCGCGAAGCATGATTAGGCCCAACGGCAGGAGGGATGAAAAGTAGAGCCGTACGCAAGACGTGCAGTATGTGGTTTCATTTTGTTCATCTTTTGTTGGCTGATAACTGAGGTGAACGATACTCTACTCTCTTACATGGACAGTGCCAGTCTTAGCACCCTCCTTATTCACCCTGTTTTAGGCTAACCATCAGCCGTAAGTCTGACACTCGTGACTCGATGTTATTATATTGTTTCTGATCTTTCTTTTTATCAAAGTTGGTCAACTGGCTGCTTTCAGCGCCTCCGTACTCATCCATACACACCGCCCTGGTCTGTGTCCGACAGTCTACCATTGCGCCGCCAACCCAAGTTCACCGTTCCACCACCACCCGAGTTCACCGCTCCACTGTCAACCCAAGTTTCGTCGATCCGAAGTGTTCCCATGTCGGCTCGCCCGCTGCCTGTATATCAACGGGCAACTGTGCGGGATAGAGAGGAGACACAGTGAACA